CAGTATATATGTACTAACAGTATAAATGATCTATCAGTATATATGTACTAACAGTATAGGAACTGTCTCTTTGACACGCTGTCCTCAGACACCTCCACCAAACTCCAGTCCAGTTTTTCCAAGCACCACCTGCCAACCGAGAAATTCAATTAAGGACTCCTCTTCCCACTTGAAGCCGGTCTCCAGGGCAGATCTTCCGGGCGACTCGCCCCTGTAAGAAATTAGAAAATGCAACAATAAAAACCCTCAAAAAGAAAAAAACTTAAAAAGAAAAATGTGGCAACTTTAGTAATGAAAGGTGTCACGCTCTCCACCGTGAAGACGCACGTCTCTTTGGGCTGGAAGTGACCGACACACAGCGAAGTACCCACAGGTAAGAGTTTTCCCTTTTCCCCTGAACTACTCAACACGCTCGTTTCCATCACTGTCAAAGTGTCGGTCGGTGTTAACGAAGCAGTTTGAAACATTTTGGGGGAAATGTCGGTGGAAGGACGGAGGGTCGGTGTGAGGTGAAGCCGAGGGTACACACGGTGTGACCGGCTGTCAGTGTCGATGCGGCGGCAGCGGAGGCGGCGGCGGTGCGGACCCGGAGCGACTGACTGTCCCTGTGCTGCTGGAGAAGCCTCTGTGGGAAACAGCGGCGAGAGCAGCAGGCTTTTATTAAACTTGAATAATTGTCCAAACACAGTGAAAGCTGCAGGAACACCAGCTTCTCTGTTCACTCACTGGGCTGCAACTTTTCTTTTTTCCTCCCTCACTTCGTACTTTTTGTGGCGAGCTCACGCGCTCCCTTTCCCCCTTTATTCAGAAGCAAAACTAACATGAGGTTCTGTTAGAATGTCTTCACGCAGCTCAGACCTACAGTTTAATACCGGGTGTTTCTGACACTTCCCCAAAAGCTGCACTAACGACTGACATGTGCGACTTGTGGTTTGCGCCCAAAGTGTCAGTATTTGTCGAGAAAAACTTAGTGAAACTCCGCTGCTCGTTACTAAACAGGTTGCAGCTCTCACACACTATCATAGACTGTAAATAGAGGAACTCCTATAAATGAAATCAATATTCAAAGCCTGATGCGGAAGTTGCTCTTGAAGACTGTCTGCTCACGACTTCCCTTTTTTAAATGTATTATTAAAACACATATTTTTCTCAGTTTTGCATGTTTAGGACGGTAGATTAATCGCGAGCTGCAGAGTCAAACAGCAGCCGGGAATGTGCAACGTGTGAAATGCATGACTTCATCAAAAAAAATTCACTGCAAATTATTTGGAGTTTCAGCAGGTTATTGTGCATAAATACATAAATAAATACCATCATAAATATCACACGATTATGAAACCGTGTGCAAAACCTGACCATTTGCTGAACATAACAGTTGGCAGGTTATACATCACACACACACACTGTATTTGCTATATGGTAAATAGCTTTTTTCTGCAGTTCCTGCTCTATGTGGCTGTGAGGCAGGTTTTTCTGACTTCCACCTACTACTGAACAAACAATCTGTTTAAAAACACTGTACGTTCTCTCTGTGTTTGGTTAGTTGTGATCTCTACAAAACACGACTGTGATGTAAGATTTAATTTAACATGATTTCATGCTTTTGTTAAAGGTTCACCGTTTGTGCTCCTGTGCATTTCTAGTGTCTGCCTGCCACTGTGTTATTTTTCTCAGGGATGAGGATCAGGACAGGAATAGATCACTGGCACTTTAAACCCAGAGTTCTCATATTCTCGCCGGATCTTTCTCCTTTGCTAATTATTGTGTTGTTTTCAGAGCAAATATGTCATATCCATGGCGACCAGGCAGGTTTATTGTCTCTCCCGTGCAATAGCTCACATAAGTAATTAATTATCCCTTTTTCTCTCCCTCCTGTCTTTGGTTAAACAGATCATTCATGGAAAGCCATCTTCCATATTAAAAATGCCACTGCTAGTACAACACAAGGTAAACATTGACGTTTCTTTTTCTCTTTCAATTTTTACAGTTTGGATGTCCCTTTTTGTGCTTTGATTTTTTTCTGTCTTTCAATTCAGCCGTGGATTAAATATTTTTATGATGTAGAAATATGCATTAGGTACACAGTGTGTGCTTTTGAGGTTTTTTCCATAATACCCTCATAGTTCAGCAGCTGTGCAGCCTAACTGTTGCAGATGTATTCATGCATGCAAAGCAAGAGCACACTTGACACTGAAACAGGCAAGCTTAAAAAACACATGTTTCGACATGAAATCAGCATGCATTTTGTGTGATTTGAATCGCAAGCATTAGCCAGACTAAAGGTAAGTTTACCTTAGTGCTCTTTCTCATTTTACGAGGTCACCAAAAAAAGTATAACCAACAGCAGGTGACACAACAGGGTACAATAGTTCAACTCAGTGAATTGCAGTGGTATTGTACATGCACCTTTATACATTCAGTTCAAACAGAGCTGCTAAATGATCAATTTAAGCAGTTTTCCTGCTTTTCAGTCAGCGCGTACCTCTGGAATGTGACGGCATGCGTCTGCTGTCCAGAGGTCCACCTCTAGCTGGACACCAGCCAGTCTTCACAGTCACACCGGTGCTACAGACTCTCATCTCTCCTCGGCATTGATGAGACACTGCAATATCTATCTGTCAAACACACTGGCCTTCTTTCCCTGCCTGTCATTTGGTCGCCTTCATTCCTTAAAATTTTTCCGTCCTCACTTGTGGAGTAAGGCAAATCTGCTGTGCTGTGAGAGCAGAGACACTAATTGTCCATTTGTGCTGTTTTAATTACAATTTGGTCTGTGTGTTTAGTTAGTGTTTATGGATGTGGTCCTCCAGGCCTTTTGATTGGGTCTCTCTCTCTTTGTAAAATGGTACTTGAAATGTTGCCTGTAGTGCTGTGCCCCTGGTTCTCTTGACTAGTTCAGCATCTCATTGGTTAATCAGTGTGCGATGCCTCCAATGTTCTTATTTCCTGCAGCCCTATCAGTCAGCGAAATGCCTCATGTCTCATAAGTACCCATCTGCATCTGTCAAGGGGTGTGTAGAATTAAACCCATGTGTATTCCTGTTCTGTTTGACCTTGGCTGTGGACCTCAGGTCTTTGATGTCAAATAAGCGTCAGTAATCCCAGGCGGCGTTTGACAGGCTTCAGGAGCCATTACTTTTATTTCCCAGCACATAAGCTTTATCAATTGCACCCTCAGTGTAATGATTTTGTATACAAACTCACGCTTCCACAACCATAGTGTTTTGCTTTGTAAAAATATAGTGCCCTCAACACGTACTGTTACACCAGCACAAATAGCACACATGTTTTTTTTAATCATCATTATTGTTTTTATTTTAGTGCTGGGGAAATGTCCTTTTTGCATGCTTGATCAGCCAGTAGAGAAATCCAATATAATGGAGGTTCAAGGTGAATTGCATCCCGTGCATTTCCCTTCCTTCGACTGAAGGAATATTCCAGAGCAAAATAAACAAATCACACAGACAACAGTAATATAGGGTTGATTTTGAAGGCATGAAATAAGTATCGATTAAATCCTGCAGTTCATAGATGAAAATGGCCTTTTTGGTAATTTGTCCTGGGCCCTTTCAATACGATGGAGAAAGAGAGAGGGAGAGGATGGACTGGGGGAGAGAGAGAGACTGCAGAAAAGGGTGGAGAGAGGAAGAACAGAAGGGGGGGGGAATAAGACAAGCGAACAGTGAGAAAGACAGAGAGCTTTCGCAGAGTTGAGAAAGGGACATGCTGCCCCTTTCCGAGCTCATTATCATTCTTAATAAGTCTTAAGGAAAGAAGGAGCACTGAGTGTGAATGCACGGTAATCCTTGCACTGGCCAAGGTTAGTAGGGACGTCAGCACATGCGCACCGCTCCCAGCTGGCCACTCTGGGACAGGGAGGGGACCAGAAGAGTACAGTTAAGGATAGATGTTCAAGGAGAAAGGGAGGACGTTCAGATACTGTTTAAAGGTTAGGCCCTTTCCCCCAGCCTGTAGCTTTTTGGTTCCTGCGCCACCTGGCATTCAGTGAGTAAACAGTTCTGCATCAGACTAAAAACCATAAGCCATATGCCCTGGTGTGTTCTGTAATGAAGAACTAGTGACTAGTACAAGGCTTGATTAAAAAATAAAATAAACAGAATTGTTTTGACTTTGGCACCATTGGAAACAAGGGATTCACTTTCCAGTCAAAGCGACTGCTGGCTGCGGTACATGCCGAACTCACTGTTCTTTGGGTGTGGTCCAGTAACAAGGATTAAGATGAATTGGATGAACTGGTGACCAATTAACTCATTTAACAAATTGCCTGCCTCTTTTAGTGGTTGTTCAACCACGTTGCTTTAATGGAAATCCAATGCAGTATTTATTTATACACTGTGCTAAACTTACAGTCCAGTGTTGCGTCACCTAAATGCGTTCTACAGTGTTAGTGATATTACTGTATTCCTGTTCATTCATCAAATCAGATGTGAGACAAGCCTGGTGCATTAATCTTAGTCCACACCAGAAAATACTTTTCATACTTCCTGTAATTAGCACAGTGAGTGTTTTATTTTGCAGTTTAATTATCTGTCAATCTTTAAGCCTTATTTTAAAATGTACACATTGCAGTCCAAGCACCTTTAATTCTTGAAAGTAAAACTATATAATGTTTCATGAATAAGTGCAGATGTCATTGTAAAGACACTGAGTATGTACAACAGTGCACAGAACCTCGGAATCACAAGATTTTATTCAAAGTCAAATTCTCTGTGTCAGAGTTGATTCAGTATGAATTAATACAAATCTTGGAACCATGTTGCACTGTTCTTTGTTTAATAAATGATCATTTACTGATCACCATTACTGGCTAAATGTGTTTTGGAATAAAAAAAGAAAAAGGAAAGCACTCTCTGCTGTGCCATGACTAACGTTGTTTCTCCAGCCGTGGTGAATTTTCTGCTGAAAGCCACCAGGGAATTGACTCAGATAAGAATTATGATTCTTATGGGAATCAATTTTTCCCCCCCAACCCTGTAATGTTTCCCAGAGTTTCTGAATGACAAATACTGTGTATGCCACTGGTTACTCTGTTGCAATAGCAACTTTATAGGTAGTTTAAGTAGATTTACAGTTTTAGCATGTAATCAAAATGCTTCAGAAAAAAATTGAAACAAAGCGTGAATATATTCCATCTGTAACAATAAAAATGGTCACAACTTAAGTTCTTTAAGCACAAACTACAGGCTACTTGTGATTCAGTCATTTTAGGGGAGACTGATAATCACTCAAATATTTTCAAGTTCAAAATAAGTTGTCTTGCATCCACTTTTCCCAAAAGTCTCTATTTTATTACTGACATTTAGTTTTTCTAATTATTAGCTGTAGTTTTTCTTTTTAATTTTCCTTCAGTGACATGTAACAATGTGGTTGACAGCTGGAAAAATATTGGTTTCCTGACCTCGTCTCCAGCTCTATACTGCTGACGTATTTGAATTTTGATGATACCTCTGCAAACTCTCTTGGGAATGTGTTGGCTTAATTGTCCAAGAGGGGGACAACAGTCAAATAAGCAAATGAAATTTGAGCTGATGGTGTAGAGTGGGATGCCCTTTTGTCTTGCTCAGTGTAATGTCATCTCAGTGCCTTTCTGTCATGTAAGGATGATTTACCCACAGACAGATGTTCTCAGACCTTTGCTCATGAACCTGCCCCATTTCGTTCTATTTTTTGCTCTTTTAAAGGTTAAGGAGTAAAAGAGTTTCCCTCCAACATGTCAGTCTCTTTTGATGGTGCATTGGTGTCAGTTGCTCTGATGAATTTTAGAGGCTGAGGAGATACTGGACTAAACTGAGCTGACTTTTTGTACACTTAGGATGCTTTTACAAAAACCTCTTCTTCTTATCTTACTGTGTTTTGGTTGTGGCATGGTTGGCAACCTGCTCTTAATTTCTACCCTCCTCCTCCCCACCGTCAATCCTCCACCCCCCCTCTAGGGAGCCTTGTGAGGCAGAGAGCCATCACCATGGTGATTTGAACACAGATCCCCCACACACCGGTCCATTGTGACCGGCGTGTGTTGAGGTGAGAGGGAACAAAATGTCACAGCAACAGGTTTTTTTGTGTTTTTGTTTTGGCCTCAATTCTCGGTGGGATTGTTCTCAGATCCATGTGCTCAGTTACACGGGAGGGACCACTGGAGAGACTGTAGGAGTCAGGGAAATGAGCTGATGGGAGAAATGAATTGAGTGACCTGGAAATACAATGTCAAAACTGAAATCTAAAATTATTGTGCTTCGAATTGTATACTTCAGTGAGTACACTCACATGTAGTGTACTGTATGCTGAGGTAGTGCATGAATTCTGACCGGTTAGTGATGTCCCCAAATCAAATCTATTGTGAACTTATCAGAAGTGATGATCACATGTGACCAGAATTGTCATGTAAATCTGTCACCAATTCCCTTACTCATTTGATAAAAAACGAAAAGTTTTACTCTAGTTTTTATTCTTCAAAGACATATAACCCAGGATTTATTATAACTTAATATCTTTTTTATACTTTTAAAGGTTTGAGTCACACATTGGGAAGACATATTGTAGTTTATTATTATTTTAGTTACATAGCTCCGTCAAGGTTAATGCCCTATCTTGCCATGTTAAAGCAAGTGAAAATAAAATCCTGGATCTGCCTGGGATCTGCATTATTGCTTTTTGGCTCATGCCCCACCACTTCACAAAATTTCAGGCAAATCGGTTGAGTCATTTTTGCATAATCCTGCAAACTAAGCAACACTGATGAAAACCTAACCTCCATTGTGGAGGAAACAATAAGTGGAAAGGAGAAATGCAGTCAAACAAAATAGACCAATTACTTGTGAAAACAATGTGTCTTTAAATACCCCTCACAAATACCTGCTGGTATATCCCCGGCTCCAACTTCCTCCATGCTGTACTTCTGCCATAGTGGTTTGTGATTAGCTCATGGT